TAATAATACATTGTATGAATATAATAAGGTCTTAGTTTCAGCTTTTTAAATGTGATAGTTCTTTTCTTGCCATTTCAATCATTTAATTTGTTCTTTTTTGCCATTGATTGGACAGAGAAAGCACTGCTGTTAGTATAACTGTGAGATTGTGATTCAGGTAAAACAAACAATAAATCAAATAAATAAAAACAACGCATTTTAATGCAAGCAGGTTCAAAACTTAGTTCTGGTGGTAAAGATTCACATCAGACGTATAACTTGTTCAAAAGAACAAAAGCCTTTATGATTTCAAAGTAAAGGTTTCCCCTGTAAAAGTACTACTACTATATGTTTCATGGGCCTCTTTTATACATGTTAAACTCAAGACCTGTGGGCCAAATGTGGCCTGCTATTGTGTTTTATGTAATCCAATAGAGCAGTGGTTTTCAATTCCGGTCCTCGTGACCCACTATCCTGCATGTTTWAGTTGTTTCCCTGCTTTGGCACACCTYATTTACATGAATGAGTGATTGCTTCTACAAACTTAAAGACCTGCTGAAGAGCAGGGAAACAACTAAAACATGTAGGATAGTGGGTCATGATAGCCTGGTTAAAACCAGACCGTTGTCCTTCACTTTGGGTCTGGACTCTCTGCTACAGAGAAGCGATTCTTGCTGGAGGCATGGCCTTTGTTGAAGTTTAAAATGACTGGATTGGTTGGCCACGACGTATGTTGCTGTGAAGGAGGCTAAGCTAAGAAGCTAACCAGAAATCGCATACTCTGTAAACAATCCCACTGAGAGGAGAGAAGTACCGAGACAAACGAGACGACTGTAAATGAGAGCTGCTGCTTTGTCAGACAAATTTAWTTTAATTTGGAAGCCTTATCAACACAGACTGGCRTCATTCACTTCCTCAACTGCCGTATAATAAAATAACTAGCAGACACTGCGCAAAAAATTGACGTTCAAAACTCCTCCTTCTGTTTGCTGATTGGCCCAGGTAAAATAAACTATAAGCAGGCAGAAAATCGACGTTCTGTTCTCTGATTGGCCAGGATGAAAATTCTCCTGAAGAAATCCTTGTCTATGGGAGAAATCCCAGATGGAGCAGTGAAGGAAAACTAGAACTTAGCAGAACTGCGTAGGAAGGCCAGGGKCAGGCTAGGGTCATGAGGACGGCAATTGAAAACCACTGCACTAGAGCAGGGGTGGGTAATCCTGGTTCTCGAGGGCTGCAGGCAGCTCTGCATGTTTTACTTTATTCCTTGCACCAACACACCTGATTCAGTCATTGAATTACCTCTTCCAAGTTCTGCAGAAGCCTGATAATCATCCATTCATTCAAATCAGGTGTGTTGAAGCAGAGAAACAAGTAAAATATGCAGGGCTACAGCTCTCAAGGACCAGGATTGTCAACCCCTGTGATAGAGCTTCAAAGATAATATTCTAAAATAAGTGTATGATGATTTTAAGCCAGCAATGACATTAAACTACATCTACCATAATGCATGTAATGAAATGACGGCCTGCTTTTAGGTGGAGGTTTTGAAAGTAGCCGGCAGTCAGCAAAATTTGCTGTGTTAGACCTCTATTTAACTYCATTTTCACTACTTTACCTGCCTTGCCAACTGATGGTGGTCAGAGGGTCTGGCGGTGCCAGTTCATGGCAGCCCCGCCTCTGTCATTGTGTCCCAGGGCAGCTGTGGCTACAATGTAGCTTACCATCATCAGCGTGTAAATGGGTGAGCGTTTTGGAGTCCGATGGGGCTTAAGAAAGCGCTATATAAGTTCAGACCATTTACTATTTTACCATTTACATTTGCTGTGTCCCAGTTGTACTTGGAAGTGGGAATTTCCCACTTATAAGTCATGTATTTAAACTGGAACACCCCTCCTGTGGGAATTCCCAGTCGGAAAGTGGGAAAGTTCAAAATTCAAGATGGCAGCTGCTCACCACAACTCAACACTAGCTATGTTTACATGCACAAAATTTTTTAATCGGATTGAATTGTATTCAGATTAAATAATCCAAATGTACTGTTTACATGGACACAATCCGATCATAAAAAGTGTTTACATGCACCGGACTTTTATTCAGAATAAAAGTCCGGACATGTGCAGTGTTGTAAACTTTCAGCTCTACTTCCATGTTACAAACATAAACAACGCTCCTCTGTGTGCTCAGGACGAACCCGTGTCAGCTTTTAATAATGGTAGAGACGCCGTTACTCCTCGGTTGAGCTGCAGCCTGCAGATGAAGCAATACGTGCTTTTTATTTTTTGCAAAGCAACGTCTGCTGTTTGTCTCCTTTTTCATCTGCTAAGAGAATGAGGAGGAAAAGTTCTGCACAGTGCTGCGCAGCTTGAACGCTGCTGTCCCACCTCCTCACAGGTCAGGGGTCGGATTTATAAAACTGGCGTACGCACAATTTGAGCCCAGAAACTTGCGTACGCCACTTTTTACGCTAAGGTTGTGATTTATAAAATCCAAACTTGACGTGAAAATGTGCGGTGCCTCACGCC